TTTAATATGCTTTCACTTTTTTCGGCGGATTTAAAATTCGGACAAATTTAATACTAGGATAAAACTACACTCGTCTTTCACATCAACTGTGAGGATTCCAGTACCTTTCGTATTCGATTCGTTTCCTCACATCCGTTATCCACGAGGGTCTTCCAACTTTTTTGGGTGGGTTTGTCTACTGTTTGAGGATTATTCTTTCGTCATGAATGTTGTTGAATGTGGGTGCAAACGGTTCTACCTAAGTCCGGGCCTAAGATAGTCGGGCTTCCACTTGTATTGCAGAGAGTGAAAGCGAGTCGGGTACCAAGTTCTCGGCCCGTAGGAATGAGAGGGTTTGAAAGCTCGGGGCGCGGCCGAACCAAAACCGTATCTGTGATGAACGTTGTCACTAACACGACGTAACCCTTTCGTTGAACAACATTTTACAAAACTTATTTAAACATTTAAACTAGTAACTCGATGATTTTTACTCATTTTTGATGAACGCACACAAGGTCGTTAGTGCAATAGTTATTCGCATTAGTAAACGTTTCGGAGGATTTCATTTTCTTAACAGCCTGTTTCAGTTAAACGAGAGCCTGTTAGGAAACACTTAAAACAGTAGTGAAAGGCTAATTTTTAGACTCTGTCATGTCCTTAAGTTCCAGAACACTCCAGTTATAAAAAGGCAGTTGTCGAGAGAACAGTTTCCTCCTGAACGTGTTCGTTTGAATGTTGCCGAACAGTTGCATCCAGTTGAGCTGTGCTTCTCTGATTTTCCTACTTATATACACTTCATCAATTCGTGACCATCTTATTGTTCTTTGCTTGGGAATCACAGTAAAAATCATATTTCAGTGCGATTTATGTTGGCGTTTAACAGGCTATTTTGATTAATTCGACAATTTCTTATACTTCCAATTAGCATTTCAATGAAGCTTCGATTTGCTACTCGATTCCCTCGTTCTCAGCTTTCCACATCTTTCCTTATTCCAAAAATTTTTATTTATTCACATTCCCGTCGTGTCAAATGTCTTTCTACCTTTCAATAAGAATTCGAAACATTTCGTGAAATATGAGTAGTCCGACATCACCAGACAGGTTGTCATCACTGGGAGCTCAGCTGCTTCGACACAGATGATGCTGCATAGCGTCAGTGACCACGGGAAGGGAACCCACCTGGTTTTTTGACGGAACGTGGTGCAACAGGTGCGAGGGGGACACTCTACCTAAGTTGATTCCCACTTCTGGGATCCATTACCCGACGACGTTCGCTGGCTTCTAAATCTTCGGAGGACTATCATTTCAGATTCACAATTCTCCAAAAGTTAAAATTTCTTCCTTACAAAATCCACTCATGTTTATCATACTCGCTTTAGTGCCTTCGATAGTGACTGGCAGTTCCGACTTCAAACCAGAAATATCTCACCTCATATGTAAACTTTTGGAACATATAGATCTTTGCCTATAAGGTGGAAGTATTACCATTTCATCACGTCGAACTTCGGTCTTAATTATTCACAATCACAGTGAAATTCTTGGAGAGCTATATTTACTCTTTTTTTGATAAGATTCAGCCTCTTCTATGAGTCGACCACTTCTTAGGGTTACATGTACCGTAGTTGGAAAACCAGCTTCTGACTCTAAGTTTTCAACCAATCACCACTCAAAGCGATCCATAAACTCGAAATTATTCGCTGAATGATAGCGGTTTCCTTTATTTGGAATATTTCATACGAAGATATTTAGACGATTTTTGATACGGTGCCTTTTTTGCTTGCCATCTAGTTTTCGTTTTTTCTGTTATCTATTCCTCCTTAACTTCGTTTATCGTACGAGCCCATTAATTGCGTAGTCTATCTAGTGAACAAATCAATATCTTCGTAAAGAAAAAGCTTGGAAAAGCTTGTTTGTTACGACGTTGCAGTTGTTCAAAAACAGCATTTTCAATGACGTTGATAGTAACAACAGTTGTACACGAGAAGTTGACAACTCTTCATAGATCTAAAGAAGAAGTTTTCTCTCCCCATGTAGGTTGAAAATGTTTTGTTTTAACGATGTTATTTCATTTTTTGAAGTTGTTTACCATCTACTTTAGTGTTCGAAATACGAGATTGATCATGCGGTTTTTCTGCCCAATAAATTCAGACTTTCATCGTGGTGCTACAAAAAAGAACTTTTATCTCCTTGGGAAGCAGAGTAGGGGAGCTTAGCCGCACCAAAGCGTTCCCAGGACTTCGCCACAGGCAATCGGTTGTTCATTTGAACCAAGGGAATTTTGCTAACTTGGGAGACTACAATTCTTACAGAACTCAACAAATTTTGTGATGCCAGCGATTCTTTTAATTGGCGTTCTATAACCCTGTATTTCCATTTCTTCGTTATCAATGAATAGGGTAACTTCATCAATTAGATCGCTTCCTAAACACGCATACTCTAACAAAGAGCGGTTGAAAAGCTTTCTTTAAATTGTGTGATCAAGAGTAAGATCCAGGATTTTTTGAGGCCGTCTAAATATCTGGCCAAACAAGATGTATGTTATGGTCCTTCCCGGCTACGGGAATCCAGGTCAGCAAAACCGCCACAGTGGGATAAACACTGTAGAATACTAAAAGCCTCGTGTCACTTTGTTAGTAGCCATAAAAATATTACTAACAATTATTTCAACTTTTATTGGCATACAGCATTCTTTTACTAATAAAGAAATATCTTGTGTCCAGACTAATCACAGTTGATGGAACTAGCATGGTCAGCACCTATAATAAAAAGGTCCACAAAAAACGCACTATCCTTGGAAAAATCCTTATTCTCTTCAGCTTCACTTGTTTTCTTCTTTGTTAATTAATTTTCCTTACATCGTCTTTTTTAATATCTCTATTTTTTAGGATTCCTATGTGATTTTGATTATTTTTGGTTCGCAGCCGGTATGCATTCGAGCGCCTTCATCACCTTTGTCATCATCGCTCTGAACGTTCAAGGTAATGTAGAAATTCTACAAAGGATTCGCTTACAACAGCTACTAGTTTGGAGTTCTAATAAATTAATTGTTTTATTAATTAGCATTCTATCAAATGTGGAGTCTCGAGCTTATTAATCATAAAGTTTTAATGAGCCCGTTAGCTGTCAAGTAAAGAGTGGAAGGAGAACCAAAACTTGTCATGAACGTTTCTGAAGGGTAAAAAACCGTTCCTAAATTTTTTTAATAGTTCATGAAAGACCTTTATATTCTGGCTAGAAAACCCCTAGTGCTTAAAGCTTTAAATACTTCTTCTGCACTAACTTGCTTGAACGCTTTCTTATTCTGATGAAACTGGGACAATATGTCCTCCTGAAATGTCGCAGTACATCAATGAGTTCTTTCGTCGTGTTGATATGATCGTGCTCGTTGCAATGAGAAACCGTGTAAGCCTCCTTGGGTGCCTCTCATCAAATCCTGTTAACGATGTCAAGCGAAGATCTTGTAGAAGATATACTAAAAGCGGACTTCCAATGATTGTCGATGTAACGTAGGTTTTCTCTACTTTATGACAACCCTAACCGGCTGGTTTTCCATCGGCGAGCTAACTTGGATATTGACAGGTAACGTAACAAAAGCTGAGACATTATGTTAATAATGCGTTGGCCGTTTTTTTTTAAACCTTCACCTAGGGCTATTTTATTACTACGCTAAGTTGTTCGGCTTGGCTCGCAAGGTGGTGGTTATAGGTGCGCTCTGCAAAACAAACGTTTTCATCTCGCCCCAGGACTCACCAGTCTCTTCATCCCTGCAGGATCGGCAAATTGGTACCAAATTTTTCTAGGACGACAGCACCACTGACCTGATAAATCGATCGGCCACCATGATTTGATGCTTAGCATAGATAAACTTCATTCAGTTACCCCTCTTATGCTTATTGAAGTCGAATGTATGGCGCAACGAGATTCATCAACGTCGAAAAATTTATTCTTTGTTTTTTTCTACTACATTTTTCTACTACAAAATTCTACTACATTATTCGACCACAAGGAGGGATACCGAACTTCAGCGAAGAGTAGCGCTAATGTGATATACCCATTATTTTTGAGCGGAATTTAAGCAGGTAGAGGTAGCTTTTAAAAAGAATTCTCCACAAATAGTGGATAGTCTTCTTTTTGCCCTGTTGGATGCAGTGATTTTTTAAGACTCGGTCGGTGTTGTGTGAGGTCAACTACTTCAGCTCTCTTCACTGGCAATTTTTTTCAGGAATAATCTTGCATGAGTTTCACAAACGGTGTCTGCTAAACTGATGAAGAATTAGCCCACGTCAACAATCATCCCACAGACGTCGTATTTGATTTCGCTAGCTTGGGACATTGGATCGTTATTCGATTCATTGGGTGTCATCATAGTCCTTCTTGACACCCCATAACATTTTAGTAACTTTTAGCGCTCATCCTAACTAATACAGTTGCAGAATATACTTCCATTATGTCAACTTTTTATTTACTGCCAGTAATAATTTTTCATGGCAGAGTGTTATGTGTGATACAACCACAATGATTGGGCAACGAACGCGCTATTATCCTCTTAGGGGGCTAACGCGTTCACCACCACACCATAGGAATCCTTCGTTTCTCCTGTCTCTCAGCTAGTTCTATCGATCAATTTTCTCAAGTTTTGCAAACATTCAGCACTTTGACACTCATTCATGGTGAGCGTTATGTCGTTAGAGGAATACCATTACCAAAGCAACATTGAGAGCACAGAATAACGGTAAACAGGCTCCTACCTTGATATTCATCAGTACCTACCATTTTGACTGAAAATATCTTCCAAAAAATCGACATATAATCATCGTTTTCACCCGCGCTGCTTAATAGCGCGCGCCATTAGGCAGGTGATTGATCATCGGAGGGTTATCGTCACAGTAATGTTAAAATTACATCCAGGTTTCAGTACATCGTCCAATTCCTTCTATAGAAATTTTGATTCGAAGTTTTTAAACCGGTAACATTGATATGTCTGTGGGAAAAAAAACAATAACAAGTGACGACTCGTTAAGTGTTCGCATCGTCCGATGAAGAACGCCTCATCATGGATGTGTTTCGCGGTTACAATTCCTTGATCCAGGTGATCATTTTATAAGACGATTCTCGTTTCTTAAAGTATTAACAATTTCGGCAACAGCTTTCAATTTTCTAAGCCACTGAGTGTTTCAGCCTGTCAAAAATGTCAGCGACATTCCAATCATTGTGAAAATCGCCATGCAACTCGTTCTTCTCATCAATGTGGTATGAACACTATTGATTTGTTTTTGCACTATGTAAATGTCCATTTATAACGTTTACTTATGTTCTTGTAGTCCTCTATAGTTTTTCCTTAATGCTAGCAAAAGAATGGTTATGGGTGTGACAAGGAACTTCATGTTACAAGAAGAAGTTCATGGTTTCGGAGGACCACCAAAGCTAATGAGGACTTCAACTTCGACTTTCATCCAAAAACCGATTAGTAGTGAACTTATGTTGTGGTAGATCCCAGCACCTACCATGGTTACATTGTTGCTAAAAACAGTTCTATGCCAAGCGGAGCATGGCCATACTCTTGGTTAAGTTTTTACTTCGCCGAAAACAATAAAGATACCGGGACTCGTACAAAAAGTGTGATCCTGTTCCTTTTCTTGGAGGGCACCGGTTGTGCGACGGAAACAATTTTATTTTCCCTAGCCCTCTTGTGTTTTCAGACGGTCATTTTTTTATTGTCGATAGTGGTATCCGTGAATTTCATTCAGCTCGTTTAAAAAGGATTCATGTGAGAGGAAGATGCTGCTGGAAAGTTAACTAAGCTAGAGTAGGCATCTGAATCGCTAGCATAGGATTTAACGACTTAATGAATTCCCAACGAATGCGACTTAACTTCAGTGATGCTGAGATATTTGCAAAACTCCCGACCGCAAGTGTCTGAGGTGGGGAATGAACGTCCTTTTACCCTATCCGGTGGCCAACACGTTCACCACTACACCATGCGGACCCTTCGTTTCGCCTGTCTCTCAGCTAGTTCTATCGATCAGTGTAGTTATTAGCTACAGTCTCAGCTTAACTGGGTTCATTACCGATTTGGGCTCCCCAGATCAAACCTGCCGGGTGATTGCTGATGGCAGAGATCGTTAGAAATAGCTGAGAGAAAGGCAAAACGAAGGACCCGCATGGTGTGGTGGTGAACGCGTTAGCTCCCGGAAAGGGTAATAGCGCATTCGTTCTCCACCCCAGGCACCTGTTTGCAAATATACCAGCATCATTGAAATTATATTCTGCAACATATCCTGCCATTGAAAACAGCAAGCAGTAGATAATAATTTGAAAAAGAATGTCACTTATTATGGAAGTCCTGACAAATTGTTTAACGTCATCCAACAGCCACATCTTCCCAATTTTTCGCCGAAATTTTTTTTAGGACGAAAAGGATCAAGTGATGCACACAAACGTCTGGTTGACATTGGTGAGTAACGAGTTCCGTTTTTCTCGATTTATTAACTAGTTGATGCAGTTGATAGCACAGTGGTGGTGAAGTCGGTCATTACGAGCATGGTGCTAGTTCGATTCCGCTCCGGGCCGACCAAGCCTCTCATCCCTCCGGGGTCTGGGAATTGGTACCAGATTTGTCCGAGAAAAAAAGACACACGCTGAAATCCAATTTGGAACGCTCCGGCCCGTCTATCTCAGGACGCCAGGGAGAATCAACTTAAGCATCTTTCTACGACATTCAAGAAGAAATGAAAATCCTCAGGCAAACGAATCGAATCTGAGAAGTACTGGAATCCACAAACTACATGTGAACATGGGTCACATAAAAATGAAAAATACAAAAAAAAGAATAAAAAGGTCGGTTAGCTGAAGAGTCGTTATTGTTTCTATTCCAGTTATATCGTCAGATCCTATCGGTTTACCTCTCATAGTGGTTGGGAGGTGTTCCTGGGTGTCGAACTGTGAGGCACAGCGGTGGATTCATCCCCTGCCAGGATCTCTCAAGCTGAGAAAGAGTCCGGTGTTTCCATCAGGAAGCCTAGCTAAGAGTAAACCAGTACCAGGATTCACCACCGTCCTGGCATCAAGATCGCATGGCGGCAAATCTCCCTCTGATCCACAAAGTCTACGACTGCCTGTGGTGGTGAAGACGTGGAGGAGACGTTGGCCACATTGACTTCTCAATTCCAGGGAGCCACAATGGCTTAACCAGCAAATCTCTGAAAAATTGACATTATGCTAGGGCCCGCACAACCAGTGATGACGGGCCATTCAAGTATCAAGTATGTGTAACGTCTATGTTATATCAAAAGGTGTCTAACCTAACACAAAAAATTTATTGTTTATGGATTTTAATCGCTCTTCACATTATAAAATAATTGTGCTAAAGTGGCTTTTTTTGCGAAAGTTTTTGAAATGGCGAGTGTTTAATGTCAGATGTTATTGATTCCTGCCAAATAAAAACATTTCAACACAGAGTTAGCTGTGTAAGAGTAAAACGGCTAGCGGAGGGCAATGAGGCAGCACATATGCTGAGAACAGATTCGATATTCGATACAGTGAAACTCTTGGAATATTCTAGGTCAATGAGTTGGCAGTGGATTTGGTACAATGAGTGAAATAGTCCTTTTTCATTAATAGACCGTTTCTCCATAGCACTTAGGAAGAATGTCTAAATTGATGAGCATGGTGAAGTTAAGTTTTACCATCATAGGAACAAATATTATTCTTTGATCAGCCAAAGTTCTGTGTTAATCGCTACACTTGACGATGATAGATTCCTTAAGAACGTTGAGAAATAGCACACTTTAATAGAGTGCTGGTCTGTGTTTCTCATGTTGTCCAGAAAATGTTTAGAAATGGCACGATTTTCAAATGCGCTGGAATCCTGTAAACTACGGTGAAATCAAGGAGATTAGAGTTGCTCCGGATAAAGTCTGGTTGCCCGATATTGTGTTGTTCAACAAGTACGCTACTTCTTACCAAGTCATTGATATCACGGTGTTAGCAGTCAAGGGCATAAAAAATCATCTATTCCAATTTTTCCTATTTTTGTACAGCCACCATAGTGCTGAGACATTTGCAAAACTTGTACTCCATGCCAAATTCGAACCGGCGAATACTCTTTTCCGGGCTTAGTGATGAACAGGTTAAAACGTGATCCAACAGAAAGGGAAATCGTGGACTATCTGTTCAAAAATAACTAATTCGATAGCATCAACGAAGAATACAATTTTTGAAAAATTGTAATTGTCTTTCCATCGTCAACATGGGTTTTGCGACATTTTGATACAATGCGTAGTTTCATTTTAAAAAAAGATGTCTTGTTTTTAGTGCTGATGGTAACTACGAGGTATCATTTATGTGCAATGTGGTGATAAACCATCTTGGTGATATGCTCTGGGTGCCTCCAGCAATTTACAAAAGCTCGTGCATCATTGGTGAATCGAATTGGGCAGTACCGATCAAAATCGGTCGAAATCGATAGATTTATTTCAGATGTGGAGTTCTTCCCGTTCGACGAACAGGTTTGCACCTTGGTGTTCGGATCGTGGACGGTGAGTTTAATCTCACAATTGGGACCCATGAAGTCGTCATCTAGAACACCTTCATGCATGTTCATTTCTGGCCGGTGGTGAACAGTTTTCTTGTAACCATGTCAAAAAAGATGTCTGCACAGAAAAGAAATTCTCAAGAAATTGTAGTATAGTTTAAACTTTGAATCAAGCGCTGACGCAGTTCTAAACTGGCCTTCCTGGAATGTTGTCGAAAGCCGATCAGTTCGATTCTCCCTATTATCCTGGAATTGCAGTGCTACTACCGTTCTCAGATCTTCGTCATTGGCATGCACCTGTTTTGGTGGATTGTAGGAAAAGAGCTGATACCAATTTCTCGACCCAGGAAGAACCAGGGTTCTGAAGGCATTGAACAGCATATATACATTCACGCAGTCAAAATAGCAACGCACTTTAGTAGAATGCTCTTGTGGACTTAGCAGCTCTTTCAACGACTAGGTTTTGCCTTTTTACAGAGCATTTGACACATTTTGATAGTGGTAGTGAATAGTCTTTTAGTACAACGAGAACGAGATTAAGTTGGAATTCGAACAAGCAGAATGGGTAGATCTATCCGAGTACTCGCCATCTTCCATCTGGGATGTAATAGACGCACCGGCGTCGCTGGTAAACAAGAGGAGCCGAATTGAGTTTCAAGTTAGAATACGGTAAGTGATAAGAATCTCTATGTGTCGACTTACACTGATGGTGATTTTAGTTTCACGTTAAGCAATAGATATTAGTACCTCAGCCCTTTAAAGACGATTTTCCAGACCAAAGGCGTAGTACTTCTATCGTATTTAGGCGCAAGACCTTATTTTACACAATCGTATTAATTATTCCCACAGTTCTGATGGCATTTCTGAGTACGGCTGTCTTTTTCCTGCCAACCGATTCAGGTATTGCGTTCCAGTATTTTGACGAAATCTTCTTTACAACACCATTCAGGCACCACCCTGGTATCCATAGTCGTTGATTATAATAACATCTGTCACCTTGCCTTCACATCCCCAAAAGTGTGCCTAAGCGTATTTATTCAAACTGGTTATTTTATTTTCGAAGTCCCCACTAGTTTGCTGTGTCCGGTACTAAACTTTTCCAAGTTCTTCTCTCTTTAGATTATTTTGTGTATGAAAATTTAGGATTACTTTACCAATAACTATTTTGAATGTGAACAATATTTCTGTAGAAAGAGGCTGATCAGGTGTTCTCATTTGTAGAAAGAGTGGACAGAAGAAAAGAAGCTTTAGAAGAAGAAGTCCACTGAATCGCTAGACCTTCCTAACTAAACACTTTTGTTATCAATCTCGTATCAGGATTATGAAGTAGGATTAACAACAAATGAAGATAGTGCATTTAGGAATGAACGGAAACAAAAACTGATGAAGGAGCAAATTAAAGAAATGAGAGAAAGAATTCTTTACAGGAGAAAAGATAACGTTGACGACATACGTTCTACTGTCCATAGTTGTTTTCCTTCTATTGGTGTCAAAAATTCTCCCACCGACTTCCAGTACTATTCCGCTTATGGCGAAGTGAGCAGCAATCTACATTCGCAGAAATATTAATTACTCTCATTATTAGAGATGACACTTAAGCTTCAAGAAGAAGCCAAGAGACCGAAATTCTAACTTTCGATAGATTTTCCTGGTTTTTCAAACACTTACTGTAAAGGCACCCCAACGATTTACTGCCTCATGGTGGCTGAGAGGTGTTCCTGGGTGTTCGGCTGCGATATAGAGCCGGTGGACTCATCAGTTGGCATGGTCTCCCAGCTGAGGAGTCCGGCGATTCCATGAGGAAGCCTAGCTAAAAGAAAAACACCATTATCCACCACCGTCCTGGTATCAAGGTCGCATTTTGGCAAATCTCCTCTGATCCACGAGTGCTGCGACTGCCTGTGGTGATGAAAACCTCGGGCAGACTTTGGCCAAACTAACCTAGGGATTCTAGCGACCCAAAATGGCTTAACCAGCAAATCTTCGAAAAATGGAGATTGTGCTGGGGGCTCGCACAACCAGTGAGGGCGGGTATCATTCTGTTTTGTCTTTTTGAAATTCTTAGTGTTAGAAGCTTCAACAAAAGGGTAGAAAAAAGTAACGGCCAACTTGTTTCATACTTATATATATCTCAAAAAATGGAAGTTCTCTCATTTTATCAAGGAAAATCGTATTTACAGATACCTCTTACTTACATTTGTACTCAACGTCATTACAATTCTGGTTACGGTCATCATTATCAACGTCTACTTTCGCAGTCCAACTATACACCGTATGCCGACATGGGTGCGGAAACTTTTCCTCGAGGTTAGAGTCTCATTGGCTTTCTTCCTAATGGATTTACGGTAACTTCTTATATTATCCACCATTTTCTTTAGTGGATGCCTTTCGTGATGTGTATGCAACGACCGAAATCTATTAGCCGAAAAATGGCAAATCAACGGAAGGGCGTTACAAAACTGCCGGGACTGGGGCAGTTCACCTTCAACCTCTCCAGCCATCATCCATTCTGTCCAAGCGCTGACGATAGGTGAAGCAAACACGGTCGTAAAATAGACAAAAGAGAAGGAAAACGACATACTTTTGTGCTGTGTACAGAACGCGAAGTAGATGAATAAAACGCAATACTCCCCTTTCACCATTTTCCGAAACTAAGGCGTGACGTGGAAACAGTTCTGCAGAACAACCACAAAAGATTCTCCATACTTTGAAGAAATTTATTTATGTTATAACAATTTGTTCTTAGTTTCATATGGGGATTATCATACTGATGAGAAATGCTACTCCTTAACGTAGTCTTACAGGAAAGCATCAACAGAGGTTTCGAAACGTATGACCGAGGTTGTTCAAGATCCGACCACCTCAGTGTACTATCCTCTGTCTGCAGACGCTCTACGAGCCATTGATGCTATCGAATACATCACGGAACACCTGAAACAGGACGAAGAATACAAAATGGTAAGGAAGGGTTTCCCTAACGGAGACTGAGATATTCCTATACTTCCCAATATGAAAGGATTTCTTCATTGAGAAGATACTGATTTCGTTCTACCGAAAATTTTTAGTATCGTGACGACTGGAAGTACGTAGCGATGATTATTGATCGACTACTACTGTACGTCTTTTTCGGTATCACCGCCGGTGGAACATGTGGAATTCTATTCAGTGCACCGTACGTATTCCAAGGTGAACAATTAGAGTTATGGACCCAAAAAATATAAACAGCGCAAGACATGAAACGGGAAGGATGCGAAGTTTTCTCCTTTTTCATCTTCATTGCGTGGTATGTCGGTACTCAGCAGCTAAAAGGCAAAAGCACAAGGTGAAGAACTGCTTACGCATGGGTGTGGGAAGGAACGACATGATGATTTCTGGTGAACATCACGTTCAGACAAATATACTAATACATAACTCTTAAGAATATTTTTGAGTCGAAGTTATCTAGCCTACTTGGACCAATTCATAGATTTCCAGGTGTAAATCAGAGTGAAGTACATCAGCGATTGGTTGAATTGTACAAAACTAGAGGCAGCGACGGTTAACTCGACAACAATACGGGTTTCGTGTAAAAATGTATTTTACAGGTCTTGTGTATCTCAGTAAATAAATGTGTTCTGTTCGATTATTTTTCGAACTTCTTGTCAAATTATCCAGTAGAAGAGTTTTCCTCTCAATACCTAGATTTTTCGCTAATTCCGTTAAAGAAATCTTCATAGAAAATGAAAGATTATAGAGTTAACTTGTAACGGACGGTATGCATTGATTTCAGTACATAAAAGGACAAAAGATAAAGCCCTCGGCGTTGATCAATCCCTGTGTGATGCGCCAAGCATTCGACTTCACTAAGCATCGTTTGGAGGTGATTGAACGCGTATCTCGCCTTTACAATCACTCGCGGTGTCCTACCGATGTATCGAGCCAGTGCTGCTTTCCTCCCAGACGAATCTGGTACCAAATTGCCGACCACGGATGGATGGAAGGCTTGATGGCTCTAGACTTGGAGATCAATTCCACACGTGTGTTGCAGGGCGCTTCCGACCACTGCGCTACAGTCGCCCTTATTTCTGTACATAAGGTGTGAAAACAGTACCCGATTTCAGTTTTAAACCAGCATACGTAAACGAAGTTAATGGTGAAATGTTTTAGCTCAAATAAAAACCACTATAATATGCATTTCTTTGCGTAGAAGATATCAGTTCTCCTATTCCACGATGACAATACATGGATTTTGTAGGCGCTTAGAAACGTATTTCTTTCTGCTTTCTAGTTTTCTCCAATGTGGGTCGTATTTCCAGTATCGAAACAGTTGTACAACCGAGGTTTTGTAGAATAGGTCGTGACTGCCCCCACATTCAATTTACTGTTTGCAACGGCTGCGTTCACTTTGGACGTCTTAAAAATTCAATCTGCTTTCAATTTTTCGTAAATTTCACTCCTTAATCAATTTAAAGGTGACCTGATGTTTCCTAAGAATTATATAAAACCCAATGGCGCATTTAGCCCAGTGGTTAGCGATGCTCTGCAAAGCACATGTGCCATTCGTTCCATCCCCGCACTAGTTTCACCAAGCCTCCCATCTCTCATCTGGGATCGGCAAATTTGTATCAAATTGCCTAAGGGTAACAGCGCCGATTTGATACATCGACAGGCCACAAAAGTCACTGAATAGGCTAGATATGCATTCTACCACCCTAACGTTGCCTGATGAAGTCGCATCTATGGTGCATCCCTCAGCGATTGATCAACGCTGAGAGCTCAATCCTCTATCTTTCATATATACCCTTGATTCGTCTTGGCACTTCCTCGAGCATTCAGTGAACAAATTGTAAGATACTCTGCTTCACAAGAACCCCGTCTTCGTGAGGGAATTAAAATGGACTGGCAGCAATTTTCTTAATAACCCGCAAAGCATAACTGCATGTTTTGATTACTTGAGAACACTTTACTGTGGCTACCTTCAATTTACAAAGAAAATTACGACCTTAACATTGCTAATGAGAGAATATAGCAGCCTCCATTGGCAGCCGAACTCATCTACTATCTCGATCACCTCCATGGTTGAGAGTTGTAGGACAACGAAATGGAAGAAAGAAAATGCAGTGACCTATCCAATATGTGAAAATGGACCAACTAAGGGCTTAAGTGGGTATAACCCTTAAGGTGATACCGCTTCTATATGAACACGAAGTTTCAAACTCCTCAACTACCTGTTTATCGAAAACTATTGCTTTATCGACGACATCCGACATTGCCTGCTTTTTTTCACTCTAATAGTGATGTCAACAATCATTCGTCAACAGGAAAGAGAAAGAGAAAGCAAGAGCCTAGATTGGTGCGGTGGGTAGCTCGTGAGCCTCCGTAAAAATTGAATGTTGGAAACACAACTGAGTTTCCCAGATTTGCTCATATCTCAGCATCATTGTGGTTGTACACCCCATAAAACCCGACCATGAAAAAAGAATAGGCAGTAGATAAGAGGCTGCACATTAAATAAGTATACGTTTGAAGTTTCGAAGAGATCCTACTCTACGTTATGTTAGGTGTTTGGATATAAGAACATGCCGGCGGTCATCTCAATTCGTTACTTTCTTATTAAATTTCGAAACTCGTAAACCTCATTTGATTTGACCGTATTATCACATTAGCAATCAATATGGTAATATTCCACTATGATTTTGTCACTAACCTCATCACCTGTAACACCGTTGATAATCCGGTGACTCGAGTGAAACCATTCAACCAATTCATTTCCATCACGCACCAGATCTGCCCACTGGACTAGACTTGCTCGATAGCCACTAGGACCATTACATTTTTAGTGTAACCTCATTTTTAACTATTTTCAACAAAAACTGGACGATGGATAGCTTTCTGGCATAGTGTAGATTTCTTTTTACCTCGAGCTTGTAACAAAGATGTCGAGCATAATCTCTGACTGACTGACCGTGCTAGAACAATCGACTCCTTGTTGTAAATAACACTTTGACATCCGTAGACACCTACCGCCTTTACGAGGCGGTATATCCTTAGAACTAGCATGGTTCTACACAATTAACAGTTATTCCTTTGCCAGCAACGGTAGCATTCAAAGATATGACAATTCAAGCATCAAGAAATGGTTATATGCTGGACGCACTTTCTCACGCGTACGTATTTGAAGGGTCAGAGGAAAGGCCATAAACCAGTGTGTTTTAGCTTGTTGGCTTCCGGTATCATTATGGGATGTGGCCGCTTTCAGACAGGTTATTCTGAGCGTTCAAAAATGAAGGCCGGCATTCCTTCGATTTCTGTTGGCTAACTTAGTGTGCTCTGACTGTTGGTCCAGTAATTCTAAACACTCGCCCATCTTCTTACGTTCAGCAGATAACAAAGCGATTACATATACATATACATGCATGTATACGTAAATATATATATATATATAGTAAAGTAATGGCCAAAAATCTATTACTGGAGTTAAGGTAGCATATAGCATAAAGAAACTTCAATGAAGGCAAAACACTAAACTCAAAAAATCATCAAGACATGACTAGCCCATACCCAAATCCCTTCGCCTCTATGCATGACGTTAAGGAAACAATAAGACGAGAAGGAGTGCTCGAACTCGGATTACATGTGAAAGCGGACCACCTGAAGATCTAAATAAATAGTGTAAAAACATATGAATTCAATAAGATAGACACGGAAATTACTTGTGTGTGGCTCCAAACACTCGTCATGATATCGATGTCAGCCTAAGAGTTTGCTAAGAAAATCCTCTAATACCTTCATCAATAACAGATTCTACTTTTCGACATGTACACTAATGCGGTTTTTTGAGATGTTACGACAAAAAAAGGTTGAAGCTGTCGGCGTTGATCAATCCTTGAGAGATGCGCCATGCAATCTACTTCATTAAGAATGGTTTAGAGGTGACTGAATGCATGTCTTGCCTTTGCAATGACTCGTGGTGGCCTACCGATGTATTGAGCCAATGCTGTTATCCTCCTAGACAAGTTTGGTACCAATTTACCGATCCCGGATGGATAGAAGGCCTGGTGGGCCATAGACGTGTGGATCGATTCCACTCGTGTGTTGCAGGGTGCTTCCGACAACTGCGCCACATGCGCGACGACAAAAATGTCCCAATCTCTGAAAGAGTGGATACGTCGATCTTTGCTGGTTGAAATCATTCCAGTTGTGACTGTCACTTTTCCTTGATGAAGCATATGGGCACAAACGCGAAATCAAACCATTAAAAGCACGTCACCTGCATCACCTGTAGTCCCGTTGATTGTCGAGTGACTCGAGCGGGAGCCAGTAAATCTTCCATTTTTCCCTGTCGCGTGCAAGAGTAGCCGAGTGGGTTCTGCTCGCTCTAGGGACTCGTCGAGCATCATATCTTTCTTCTAGGATCCTCGTGAAGAACGCTGACCATCTGGTCGATGGTATTCCTGCAGTGCGTTTAACATCTCGAGGAATCAAGTCACTAACGGATTTTGTCCATCAGTTATCGTTTACACACATTATGCGTCCGGCCCATCTTATCCTCGACTCTTTGACGTACAGAATGGCATCTTTGATTTTTCATCGCTGACGCCGGTCGGAGCTTCGGATTTCTTCCCACACTTGCGTGACACGGCTCCTTACGTGCCGCTCCTCCAAGCTCCTTACGACTGCGCGTTCAACAACGCTGACTGATTCTTCATCCTGTTTACGCAGCCACCAGGTTTCTGACGAAGACGTTAGGGCACGAAGTACCGTTGAGTCGAAAATGTGGGCATGGAATAGTGTGTCTTTGTCCTCTTCATTACATCCTAGACGCTCTTGGAAGCTCCCCAAGCCGCTCGTTTCCTTCTGCTCAGTTCTGGAGCTAAGTCGTTCATCATATTGATTTCCCGACCTAGATAGATACAACTGGAGCATTCCGAGATATTCGTTATGTTGAGCGTGAATGGGTCATGCGAAACCAATCCGTTCTTCATGAACATCGTTTTTGTGAGACTTAGTCGAAGACCAATCTCTCCACGTGCTTTATCAAAATCCTCAAGCATACGTTACGCTTGGCTAATGTTTGGTGCTATAAGAACGATGTCATCAGCAAAGCGAAGATGGTGTACCTGCCGACCATCGATTTTCACTACCATATTATCCCATTCCAATGTTCGCATGACGTTCTGGAGGGTGGCGGTAAATAATTTTCGCTAGATAATACCGCCTTGCCTAACTCCTCTTTTGACGT